TTAGAGGGATAAGAAGGGATTCGTCTCGTATGGTTTGATATTGTATAAGATGTTATGCATTTTTCCTGCATCCATCCTCCACACACTTCCTTCTCGGGCATCTTGGAGCATGATAAAATTGGGAGATCATGACAGAATCCCTTTAAAACCAACTAGTTACTAGGCCATTCTCTCTTCCGCTTGATAACAAAAATAGAACAAAAGTTTAATTTTCTGCATGATTGACTTTGGCAATGGAGCAGCAGTTCAGCAGTGCTACAGTTCTCATGACTGACTTGTATAATCGCTACACCTCTAGATCCTGTGCATCTACTTTCACTCATCAGTTTCTGTGGCTCAGTTCACTACACCTCTTTGTAGTCTGGCAGTTTATTCATTTTGAACTTTCTACTTCTTGCTCTTCAGTTTGTGACTCCTAGTCTAACTCCACATATAGACTTACTTTTAACCAAAATGATTGGGTAATTGTAGTACTGATAAACTCAAAGCATGGAATCATTGTTTGGCTCCAACACCCAGATAGGGCTCATCAAGACACCTTTATAGATAAACAATTCCAATAGGTCAAGTGTAAATCAGTGTAACAAAGAACAAATTTAACAATAAACAAAGTTTACTTATTCACTGAATTCATTATATACACAGGTACCAAAGTCATGCTTTGTTCTTCTCCTTCATTCCTTTGTCTGTTGAACAGGAGACATACATTAGTCCTCATGTTTTAACCCTGCACACTTAACCCTTTACTAAGACCTGCTAAGGAAAATTTGCCCCTCATGGAACTGTGTAGACTCACATACATACTGTATGTTCACTCATTATAGAAGACATGATGCATACAGAATTCCAAATGTAATCTCTTCTTTTTATTTCCACCCTGCTGCCATCTCTTTATCATGTCATTTTAAAGATCATCAGCAATTTTTGAAGGATAAATTATTCACAGCCATCCCAGGGCTGTTCTGTCAAAGAACTGATAAAGAGATTAAGTTCAAAATCCAAACATCAAATGCCCTATGAGGGATCTAAAAATTACGAAATTCACTATTTCCACTTAATCTACTTTTTTTTCCTGCACTGTATCACACCCAGTCTTTCTGTGGGTTTTGAAAAACCCACAGTCATTGTCACCTTTGTAAGGGTTTATTTCTCAAAGTTAATTAACAACTGTCAGGCTTCCTAGTTCCTACTACATCCACTCTTTGATGTGTCAGCTGTTGTTTTCACTCAGAGACATGGAGGCGCAGTGTGATGACAATAGATGGTATTCACCTAATTGATGAAGTCATTAGACAAAGTGGGTGACTTGTGACCCCAGATCAAAGAATGGGTGTTCATGAAGCGGTGAATCACATCAGCCAGGTAGCCCCATGAGGAGGACATTGTTTACTGTTACTACCTCGATTCAGCTCCCAGACACCCACAAACAAACACACCCACAGTTCTGTGCCTAGTGTATACACACTTTAGGAGCAGACTTAGGGACTCTCACTGCAATTTACCAGCTTGTGCAGGTTCCTATCAGAGCCTTAATGCAACATATACAGCTTCAGACTTCAGATGGCATTTTAATTGAGAAGAAATTGTACATATTCTGTTACTCTCCAAATAAGCAAAACAAAACAATTAAAAAGAATAATTTTACTGGTTTTAACAGTATGAATACAGTACATACATAATTACATACGTAATTGCATGACAATCACTCAACAGGAGATGTACAGGTGACTGCCATAAGATGTGTGACATGGTTCCTTATGTACTGATTTATATATTTACATATGTTCTTCTCTTCCAGAGGCTGCAGGCATTGCTCTTTATTGTGGACACGGGTAATATTACTAAATGAACATTTCTGTCTCTTTCAGGGTGCTGCAGATACCAGAACCCTCAATGAAATGCCTCTGTCCTTCTTTGCACCCTTCTCCATCTTTCATACTTTTCTCTCATGTTCACGAATATTCTAAATTAACTGTTTTCCTAAATGCCCTAGATGATTTGACATCACAACCCTTAACATTGTGGTTTATACCACAGTTGTCCATTTTACAGTGCAGTGGTTTGATTTTGTTTTTCTCTTGCATATATCACAGTAGCTCCTTGACCACTGTGGGAAATTTTGCCTAGTGGTTTCAACCAATCAAGTAATCAAAACATGATTGGCCACACCCAGTACTAAAGAACGTCCCCACTGCCAGCAAGTCCGCTGACCAGATTAGCCTGTCAGAGTGAATACTAACACTTATGTACTTTTCCATCATTCCCTTCCCTGCTCTAAACAAACATCCCCATCTAAACTACCCAAGTCCTCGCTGTGGAAGTTGATTTGCTAACTTTTGTCTCTTTTACTAACAAGAAGCTTCAGAATTCTTCCAATTTAATTCTTTTCATTGGTGATTTTTTTCCCCCTTACCTATTATAATTTCAACAACTAACACTGTGTCATTCACGGAATGTGAACCATCTGTTGTTTTCTCTACTTAACCTGCGACTTACATACTAACAAATGTTATCCTTTTTATTCCTTTTGTTTTTTTATGATTTTATTTTGTAGATGGCCCTTTAAAACCAAACAGCTATACAATTGCTTTCTTTATTTAGATGTTTTACTATATAAATAACAGGAAAAAGATTAATTCTTTTAAATTATATTTAAAGCAGAAGCTGGTTTTGCAAAAGATGATTTTTTCCTACTTTTTTGGGGCTGAGGTGTGTTTTCTTGAGTTTAAAGTTTGTCATTATTTTTTTTCTTTCTCCTCCCCTTGTTTTCTCCTGAAGCACGCAGGCATTGGACACGCTATGGTAAACAAACTGCATTATATGGTAGCTATCATTCTAATTGTCTTATACTTTGGTTTGCCCTGGGTTTTCCGTTACCTCTTTCTATTCTGTTTGCTTTACTGAAAGTACAATCTGCCATCAATTCCAAGGTAGCTGAAAAACTCCACCTCTCTGTTTTTCTTTTAGTCCTCTCTCTCTCTCTCTGTATATATGTTAATGCTTTTTATTGCCATCCAGTTCTCCCCCTCCTGAAAAGAATTAACGTCTTCATTCCAAGAGGTCTGCCCAAAAAGATATAGAAATTAGATACATTTAGATTTCATTTGTTATGCTATTTATTTATTTATGTATTTATCGTTTGTTCTTTTTTCTTTGGTTATTTGTTTTTAACTTCCAACACAATCCGTATGAAGAAATAAAGAATTGTAATGCAAGGTATTTTCTCAGTTATTATGCAAGTATTAAGAGTTACTGTTACTTTTGGTTAATCCCCATTTACCCCCGTTGACTTGTTTTCTTAGAAGAACTCTATTAATTGAGCGTACACAGGAGACATCTCAGGCGAACAAATAGCCAACTACAGCAACTCCAGTGAGAGGAAGTAAAAATTCATTTTAAAAAAGTGCTTTTATTTATTAGTCTCCCCAACCTTTTAACACTGAGGAGACCATCTTGCTATGTTGCCTCAACTGGACCTGGTCAGCCTGTTATGGAGCCACTGCTTATCCAGGCTTGTCATCCTGTGGTTTATAGAGTCATGAAGAGTATTTACAGCTCTTGATTTAGTGGCCAAAGCCCTCACTGTAAAGTAGGCCTCAAATGAGGGCTTGATCCCATTAGTGGCCTCAGGTTGATTTATGATCAAGATGGGGCTGTTCCTAGACCTGCACCTGAACGCACTCCTCTTTCTTGCAAGTGTACATACTTAAGAAAGCTTTAATTTGGCTGTAGTCCCTTGAACCTAGGTGCAGAATTGATCAAACCAAGAGTACTCATGAAAACCTATTATTACAAATAAAATGAGAACTGCTCACTGGGGGCTGGTTGCCAGAATAACTTAGCAAAATAACTAAAACCTATATTATTTGTACAAACTAAAAGATGTTAAACAGTTATTAGCTTATCACTGTGAATGCACACTGGTAGACCGCCATTCAAATGTAGTGATCAGTCTTACTTGCTTTCACTGGACTTTTCTATTTATTAAATAAAACGGTCTGCCCACGGATGCAAACCATAAAAGAAAATGCCAGGAAAAGTCTGACCTGTGTGTGATCAACCCTCTCATTTACACTAACACTACCTTATATTTCTTATATTTTACTGGCCTCACCCCTTGCATGAAGAAACTTGACCTCCCTCCCCAGTCTTTTTAATTTTTTTTCTATGTACAATTTGCATTGGGTATATATGTATATGTATATATCATGGCTATTATATATACATACATATATCAATTGTCCTAATATAATCAATATGGCCATAAAACATGTTAGCCACACACCCTTGTTCTTTTATTTATTTATTTTGGATCTTTTATTGTTTCCAGAATAGCAACCATTTTCTAAATGTGTAGTTTTAATGAACTATTTATTTATTTATTTATTTATTTATTTATTTATTTATTATTGTTACTTCTGTGAGTTTAACTTCAAAATTAATTTACTAAAATGAATAATGACCTCACACATTTATCTTTCTGAAACAAAAAAAAGGAAAAAGTAAAGAGGGGAGACAGATTTTCATTTTCTGGGAGAATAGTGGATTGATGCCTCAAGAAATAAATATGACCAATCCATCACAAAGCATGAGTCGGAGAAAACTGTTGTGAATGGGCGGAAAGCCACTCTATCTGTAAGAAACTCACTCAGTCTCAACTCAGCTTTGACAAAAGTAATTTTGAGCTCACATCAGAAATACTGTGGTGAAATTCTGGTGGAGGCATAATGAGAACTGCAATCCTGACTGAGTACTGATGTTTTTAGTGTATGGCCAGTAGCACATTGTGCAGGGTTAGCGATGATACAATATATTCTACCATGAGAATGCTAATTACTCTATTCACCGAGACAGTGACATCTTCTCTCCCCTCCCAATTTTCCCAATTCTTTAAAAAACCCTCTCATTTCCATTGATTTCATCTGTGATTGGTGACATTGGTCCCACCCTGTTGCACCCCTTCCTCCAAACTGAGTATCCAGTGGTTGTATTCATGCACCATGTTTGCATGTTTCTGTTGGCTAGACTGTCTCACATCAGCATCTTCACTGGGTGTAAATGCTGCTCTAGCCCAGCGCGTGTCAGTCTGTTGTACACGTGTCTAGATGGGTATTTCTGTTTCATTCCTGTCCAAAAAAAAAAAACACTGCAACAATCTTCCCCTCCCCATTTGTCATTTGGTGTTGTGGTGCCCTGCAATTAAAACTTCCTTCCCCATTTTGCTGCATTTTGCCAGATGATTTAGTTGTGTGTTTGTTTGTTAGTTGGTTTGTTTGTGTTGTTTGCAATGGAGTCCCCCCCCCCCCTCCTGCCCCCCTCCTTCCCCCCCCCCCCATCCCTCCCTTCCCTGTCCTCTTTCCCTTTCCCTGTCATCTTTCCATTGAGGTGCATGGCTTGTGTGTCACCCTGTTAGCTTGGATGGATTCATTTTGTTTCTTCTTAACCAAAACAAACCCTTGTCACGTGGAATAACACATTCAGTCCAAATCTGGATCTGGTTTGAGCAATCAAATTGCAGAGGACTTTTAAAGAATCCTCACCTACTCCTAACCACTTTGACTAAATCTACTAAAACAGCGTTACTAATCTACTGTTTGAATCAAACCTTTGTTGTAACTGTACTAACAACCATTTTTGTGTCTGACTTTCCCTTACTTACAAATTTACTAACAGATTTCGTTCACCCTCCAACCCTTTCAACTCTTTCTGATACACAGCTATAGATCTTACCCCCATTTCTCTTCCCCATCCTTTTGACAGCTGTTGCCAAAATGGCCCAAGCTTCCCAACCCCTGACCCCCTCATATTCTTTACTAACCTAGGGATGTAGCTTAGGTCATGGGTTCATGGTTTACCTAACCAAACTACATACTTCATATTTAGCATTGAAAGACAGACTCAAGATCATTTGCGCCTGGTCCGACATTTTGACAAGCTGCCAGACACCTACTGAAGTCCACTGCTAAGTGGGAACTCTTTCTTATCATTTTTCTCTTGAGCATCCTTCCTTCTTGTGGCTTTACCTGTGTAATGTAACACATCATCTCTAAATTATAACAGTTTCTCCCTGAAAAAGAGCTCTGACAGTAATCAGATGTAGTGCCAACCAGGGTAAGTGATGCATCTTCAAGGTAAGCTTGTTGCTGCGGCTCTGCATGGATTATGATGTTAATTTATGAAGGTACTGATAGGTATCTGTCCTTAGTTATATTGTATTCTATAAGTCCAAAATAGCTGACAAAGAAACTACAGACAAACAAATGGATGCTGGAAATAGAAATCACATCTGCGTTTAGGAATTGAAGGTAAAATATGATCTGTACTCATGAATTGAAGATTTCTGCAGCAAGTGACTCACACAAACTTGTTTTTTCCATTGTATGTGCTGAAGGCATGACAGGGTATTGCTTCAGCTATCATAAAAGTGTTAAATCCCTTATTGTTTTTATTTTTATATTGAGATTATGGGTAATATATGTCAGCACCAAGACTTGCTTTGGTACTTCTCAGCTCCTCAGTACCACCTTGTTCTGATGTTCCTCTCTATGGAAGCAGAGGCTGCTTTAGGTGTGTTGCCTTCTTTATTCCTGTTTTAAATGTTATCCTGTCAGCACATAAGTTGCTACCAGATTCCTGAAAATCAGTAAAGTCTATTGACGAGCTGTGTGCTCCTTCAGTATGCTTGGAATTCATGTGTAAGTGTGTAAAACATGCTGCAGATACAACTCCAAGTGCAAGTGATTTGAAATTGGAGCTCACTAATATAAAATAAGGGTGTAGTGTATACAAGACTGGATCATTCGGTGACTTCCAGTATAGTGTTATTGTTGTCATTGCATTCACCTAGACATTTTATGTGCAATCTAAGTGTGGTCAGTGTAGTCCCCAGCCCAGCTGGAATCATATTGACCCTTGTTTACTTGAAGAGCTGGGGTCTACTTTACAGTGTCGTCAGTAGCTGGCAGCCTGCAGTCATAGAGTCAGATATGGTCAATGAGGCAGTGACAGGATTGGCTGAGCACACTGCAGGAGTCCACACAAAGAGTACCATACACTACATGCAAAGCCATTAGAAAAGCATAGTTATTCAGTTGGTGGTTGGTGGTTTATGAAGAACAAACACACAAGAGAAAGATTGATTAATGTAAGCGTAAAGGAGATTAGGTACAAGCAGCCGTTTTAGAAGTATGTCACTGGGTAAAACTTCATCATTTTCGTGCTTCAGGGCTGTGTCAGTTCTTTTATTGTACAGTATCTTCAGGCATGAACAGTTCCAGCCAGTGTTTTTCTGTTATCTTAGTTCAGCACAGCTCATCCAGGTCTCTTTGGTGCCTGTGTGTAATGAGCTAAAGAAATATTTGAAGAGCAGCTGGGTAAAAAAAGCGATGGATCCAATAGATACAGCAAGTTGGTTTTGGAGTTAGATCAGCACTACTTGTGTTGTCATGTTTAAATAGTCCTGTTTTTGAGGCAGTGTGTTAGTTGCTTCTTTTTTAGACTTTAGATTTTCAGACTTGTTTTTGTAGGCAGTGTTTCATGGAGGAAACTGTGATCACACATTTGCAAAGAAGTATTTTCAGGCCACATTGTGGCATATGCTCAGATCTCTTAAAGACTTCTCCCACTAAAAGAAGCAGTTGTTTTCCTACAGTAAACAATGCCCTGAGCCACCATTTCATGTTAACGAAAATTGAAATATTCAAGTAACTGTGCAGGTTGCTGAGTGATGGTAACTAACCCCGGCTGTTTGTCATCTCTCAGCATTACTTTGGTTCTGTCACTTCCATTACTTTCAAAACTTAAAATTGAGGAACACACTTGCTGGTGGTATTTACTGACCTTTTAGTGACCTGGACACAACATTTCAACAACCATTCATTTTACCTATGAGCTACTGTCACCATTAAGTATAGAGGAATAACAGAGGGAATTGTTGCAGGGTGTTCATCTCTACAGGTATCGCCATGTTTTATCGAAGTGAAACTTTGTTTTAAAGTGGTTTATGGTTTCAGTGACTTGCTGTTAGCTGCTTCTGTGCTTCAGTCGGATTTGCCTACGAGGCAGGAGGATGAATGCGGTGACAGATGGATCCAGAATATCTAGATTATGTTTTATTCAGCTGCTGTTGGTCAGTGTCACAGGGCCTGTGTTGTCTTGGTGACAAGTAAACTAATCACAAATAAATTGTTATCCCAAGCTATATTTCTCCACGCTGAATAGTAAAAATTCAAAACAAAGGGTCTCAGGGAGTGCAAGCAGCCAAAATCTCTCTGCTAGAATCTTAATATTTAAGTTTGGATTTGTTTAAAAAGCAGTCTATCTGCATTTTGCAGCAGATGTTTTGAGATAGGATTGCATGCTGATTGTTTCCAGGCTGCATGGCTTCCAGGCTGGAGGAAGCAGGGCATTTCACCTAGCAGCCTCCCCAGACCAGAGATACAAGTGCTCGTAATGCTACTTAGTGGGATGGTTGAGGGAAAGACTAGATAACTATTGTGAATAACTGCAAAGTTGGCTCAGAGGATTCACTTTGTTTTTGCTTTTGTTGGGTTTTGGACTAATAATGCCTGGTCTTATTTTGGATCTTTGACATAGTGTCTCTGTTGGTTTTTTTATTGCTATTGGGTCCAACGCCTGATCAACAGTGTAAAGAATATGCTGCCCTTTAGTATTTTTTTCCATACACTGCATGCATTAAAAGCTATGAGTCTATTAAGTGGTTAAATCTTGGATGATAGAGAGGTAGAATGAGAAAGAAGGATAAGAGAAATAAACAGCTAATCTCAGATTTTCCCCAATTAGTCAGAAACTTTATAGGTGTCTGGCAGCTAGCATGTGCTAGCCTCAATAAGGACATCCAACAAGAAAATATGATCAAATCCAAAGCTCCCAGCTTGGCCATAAAATATCTTGGTGTTCTTTAGTCACTTTAGTCAACATTTCATTTCACAAGCTTCCCAGGATCCTTTGACATCTCAAATCCTATATTCTTACCTTGAGAAGAAGTCCTGCTAATGGTCTGTAGGAACTTCTCTTAAATTTCAAATGCAACGAGATTTTGGTCCCCCAGTTTTTCTTCGCTAGCTGTCTTTAAGGTCTTTCCTGTCACTGAGGGATAAATTAGGTTGCCCTGCTGAAAGCCCCATTCAAGATCCCCAAAGATCACCCCAACACACCAGCAAATTTTTCATGCCAGATGCATTTGTCCGATACAATTCCTCCTTCTTGCCAAGTAGTAACAGCAGACATAAAAATGAGTTGCCCTCTTTAGAAGGGAAGTACGGCAAAAAAAGATTTTAAAAAACAGTGTGGGAAAAAATTTCAAGAAAAAATTAGGATGAGTGCTCAGCTGGGGCGATCTGTTGAGTGCAGTTGCTAAGGTTTGTCTTTAGCCCTCTGTTCTAGAATGTTTACTACCACAGCTGTGGATATATTATCAGACTATATATTCGATTATACAGATTGGAATCAGTTGTTTTTGTGTATTGTTTTGAAAACAAAGTTAAGAATTATTACTGTAAAATCCTAAATTCTAGTTACTCTAGATCTATCATCCCAAGTCAGATACTGCTTTAGGAAAAATCTCATTGCAAATAATCAAGTTGGACTTCAGATGAAATGAAGGTAATTTGTGCTAGCATCACTTTTGAGTGTACAAAGAAAACAGATGGTTATGGCTCCTTGCAGTACTGTGTTTGTGCTATGTGCATTTATGCAGAATAACAGATGCTTAATCAGAGACGTGAGTGCTTCACTTTCGCCCAGGCTAAATCTATTAAGATAATTAGACAATGAATTGGACACTAACTGCAGATGTTTCTCCCAAATCAAACAGCAATATTCAACAGGATGTTTATATAAACAGCAAAGATGTGGTACAAATACAAAATACAACTATGATGTAATACAGAGAGCCAAATTATACTTGTTAGCATTTCCATCAGTTACTGGAATTTGCTGCATTGTAATGAGCATAATGTGGAAAAAAAGAGATTTTTATTTATGGTTACCAAGTAGATGAAATCCCTACTATATGAGATGCATTCAGATTTCAACTGAACATAACTGTATCTGAGGCCGCATTTTTTTTATTCCCTCTTCAGGTATTCTTTAAATAGATAAAGTAGAGTCTGGTGTGTTGCTTTAGCTTGTATCATTCATGCATTTGTTTTTTAAAAAATAATTCTTTTTAGATATTGTCTTGTTTTTCCTCTTCAAACTACATCTAATACCATCAGCTTACAGCTATGTGTTTGATTCCACCCAGCTGAAATGATCAAACATGACACAGAATGTGTAACCTTGCACAAAGGATGAGACTCAAGGCAATTAAATATTGGAAAGGCGGTTATTTTTGCTGTTGGTTCCTTGAAGGAGGACTGGTTCCGCAAAGCTATGTCAGTCACAGGGAAAGCCCAGTTGTTGTTTGAAGAATAGTTTTTCCTGTAAGTTTGTTTTGTGATGTGTTTCAAGTATCATTTAATTAAGTGTGTTTGGTTGAGATAGTTACCAATGGGATGTTTACAAAAGAGTCTGCTTATGGCTTAGATTGAATTTTAAATGTCTTTTACGCACACTTTATCTAGTGCAGACTACAATGAAAGCCTGCTTTTGCCTTTACTCAGCTAAACCGTGATTGTTCCACTACTAGTGATTAGACAGTGACTACAACACCGTTCTTTTGGTTTTCCCTTAGCAACTGCACTCTAGAGTGAAAAGCCCCAGTCTGACTGGTACCAAAGGCAACCAAGCAAGCAATGCCAGCCCACCTATTACTGGTGTTTAATCTACTTTCTTCCTTGTTTTTCCTCCTCTCTTCTTCTAATTTCTCTCCTTATCATTTCTATTTCTGTCTATCCCTGCTCTGTTTTTCTATCTCTCTCTATTTTTTTTCGTCTTTCTCTTGTGGGCCATGCCTATGCCAGGTGACCATCTCGGTGGATGGTATATTGACCACCACTGGTTATACCCAGGAAGATTACACCATGCTTGGCTCGGATGACTTCTTCTACATTGGAGGGAGCCCCAACACGGCCGACCTGCCTGGCTCTCCAGTGAGCAACAACTTCATGGGCTGCCTTAAAGATGTGAGTGGCACTGTGTAATTGTATAGTTTGTGACTATAAACTGTATGTAGCTGATCAGACATGCATCCATGTACAGTACACACTTGGCTTTGTACCGTTTTTCCTCTGCCTTAGGCTACTGGCTTAGGAAACAACCCAGACTGTACATCCCATTGTGTATGATTAGTTAAAAATATCGGTATGTGCTTTTTTAAGTTGTTTAAAGCAGATAAAGGGTCTCTCACAGCTATGGGTAAGAATGTCCTATTTCAAACAAAACAGCAATGAAAAAAATATACAAATATCAGAAATTTGCTGTGCACAACCTGTTCATCTGTGGTATAGCATCATTCTCACACATATTCATGCACAACACATTTGTGTTGACTCTGACACTTTAGAATTATCACTCTGTGCAGATATAACTCCCATATGTGAGAGTAGGAGGTGTCAGACATACAGTATCCTGAATTCCTTTCAAGTGTTTATTTCCTCCATGCCTCCTCCCCTTTCTCTTAATCACACCGCAGATCAAACACAACCACAGAGATAGTACACACTACAGTGCAATGGTAGAAAATAAGACAGATTCAAATTTCTACTCATAGCCATGCAAGAATTCACAATCTATACACAGCCACACACAGTCAGGGATGGATATGTAGAGCACAGTTGCCTTATAAAACTTTATTTCTTCAACTTTGACAAAAAAAATGACTTACTTTCACCAGGGCTTTAATTCACAGCTTAACAAGCTGTCAAGAGAACCAATCACAGCTTAAAGTATTATGCCCTTGTAAATGTAATGACTTGTACAGAGGCAACGCAACATGGTGTGATCGCATTTTCTCATAAAACCACACTGATTGAATAAGTAATTACTTTTGCCTTCACTTTTAATGGATCACACAGTAATCATCCTATCTCTAACTTAATTATGCCTGTAGAATTACATTTTCATTATTTGGGTTGCTATCGGACGAGTCCCTAGTGGGTCTTAAACTTCTCAAGGCATTTAACTATCCTTACTATCATCAAGACACGAGGCTATATTTATAGGCAATGTAAAGACCAAGTACAAGGAATGGGGAGGTGGTTGGGAACAGTAGGGAAACAGATAATGACAAGAGCTAACAGTAACAAATAGAAATGAAAATGAAGCAGTGAGGTGGCAAAGAGCTGGAAATGGAAAGTCAAACCAGATGGCTGGAGAGGAGAGCACAGAAGTCTGAGTGATCTGCCAATAAGGGTACAGGTGTAGTAGATGCTGCACAGAGAACATGTTGAAAGTAGAGAAATGAATTAAAAGAGAAAACATTTAATGGAGTACAGGAGCATTTTTCAGTTGCAAGGTTTAATGGATTGCAAGGTGCAGAAAATGTTTTGAGATAGAGATGAGACATGGATGAGGGGGAAGGGAATAGGTTCCTGATAAAATCCAGGAGACAAGTGGCTGGCATTCAAGTGTGACCTTGAGCCAAGGGCTTCATTCTTCATTTTTCATTTAGCAAATTGGATTTGGGGCAGCACTACAAAATACACCTTAACACTTTGTGTTGTCAAGTGCAGTATAGAGTTTTAACATTTGTTTTTCATGGATAGTTCCTGGTGCTCCTGCATTTTTATTTAGTTTTTTATACTATATTTGACACTGGCCTCAAGAAAGTCAAAACCTCAAAACTGGAGATGTTTAATGGGCACCACAATGGAGCTATTTTACTTTGTTTGCAGACTATTTTTACCTAAAGTGATAAGTTTAGAGCTGATCATCACACCCCGCTGTTTGTTGGTTTTTGAGGCTGTGTTTACTGGTCAGTAAGATATAATGTTTGACTTGAGCATATTAGAAGCTTGAGGGTTAACGGCTAGCTTTCTCTGGTGTTAGATTTTATTTTTTGTATTGTTGTTTTGTTTTGTTTGTATTTTTTAGCTATAGCCAAGGTGTAACGACTACATTAGCTGAACTGAGCCAGAAAAGTGAAAAGACACTGAGAAAACCTGCACTGAGAGAAACAGATAGCGCCAGGTAGGGAAGTAGGAGCTGAAAGTAAAGAGGAGAATGAGTGGCTGGGGGAGACAGAGCAGTGTGTTTTCATCCTATGCTAGTTCAGTGGCACAGCTCGGATTATCAGTGGTGTTATGGTCTTGGGCAAGGCTTTCATGCCGCCACCGTGGTCAAATGGCTTTGATACGCATGGTCAGCACCCTCTAGGCAGCTGAAATTTAAAGGAATAGTGCAGCAGAAGAAGAGTAAAAAGGCACCAAAAAAGGCACTGAAGCCCTGTGAGGCTTTTATTTGCTGTGTTCGTGTGTGTGTGGGGGGGGGGTTCAAAGTCACCCTCATGCTATGATCATACACTGTATGATGTGTATATGTCTTCTAGGCTCACAGTCAGAGTGGTGAGCTGTGAAATAATGTCTTTCTGCTCTTCAGGCCCCTAGTTGTTGTTTCCACAGATTCTTCTCTTCTTCTGCACATCACCATCTATCTCTCCACCACAACCTCCACCTTTCCATCTCTTTCCCAGACAGTGACCTTGCTGTCACCCATTTCTCACTCCTCCCTCCATCTTATATCTCCCCTCTCTCTCTCTTTCTGCCCTCCTGCTTATCTTCCTCACTCCTCCCACCTCTCTCATTATTTTCCGCCACCTTTCGCTGCTTCTCATCTTCCCTTTCTTGAGGGTAGTTTTGTGTAATTCAAATCAAATCAAATCAAATCAAATTTTATTTGTATAGCGCCAAATCACAACAAAAGTAATCTCAGGACACTTTACAAAGTAAGGTCTAGACCTTACTGTTATCAATATTATTACATAGGGAAAACCCAACAAATCCCCCTTGAGCAAGCACTTGGCGACAGTGGGGAGGAAAAACTCCCTTTAACGGAAGAAACCTCCGACAGACCCCGGCTCTTGGTGGGCGGCCTTCTGCCTCGACCGGTTGGGGTGAGT